AAAAAATTAAGAGACTACATTTGTGGTCACTTGTTCACTACAGAACTGGCCCTTCCTTTACTCAGCACGTGGCTTCTCTCCTCAGTACCCAGGGGTCACCGAGGAATGCCTCTGCCTTTCCTTCCATGGTATTTACTGATCTACCACAATGTTTTTCTCTGTTGGGGATGTGGACATGTTCTTGTGAATACTAAGCATGTGATGAAACACTGAGCCGTATCGCCAGCCCTTCTAGCACGTTTACTGTTACTGAGAAATGTCTATGGTTTACCTTGTTTTCTTGTGGTAGCTCTTAACTGCTACAGCAAAAACCCCCCAAAGGCTAAGGCTAATAAAAGGCTTTTGTGGTTTTTGAGATAGGGTCTCATGTAGCCCTGAATGGCATTATATAGCTGAGGTGGATCTTGAACTCCTGATTCTCTTGCACACTTGTAGAGTACTGGGATTAGAGGTGTGTGCCATCATGCCTGGAAGAAAAGGTTTGGTTTGGCTCACAGTTTCAAAGGCTCTGGTCCACCATCTCTTGGCCCTGTTGCTCATGGGTCTATGGTGAAGCTCACATCTCAGCAAGAGCACATGGAGGAATGAACCTCTTCATTTCATGGCTGGGAAAAACAGAGAGAGCTAAGAGGAACCAAGGTCTCACTACCCATTCAAGAAAGATCTCCCACCGGACCCCTGTCTTAAAGATCTCACCATCTCCCAATATGCCATCCTGGGGACCGACAACATAGCACATGGACCTTTTGGGTCCACTCAGAACCAAGCTAAAGCAATGATTCACTGGAATGTGCTTATTATCTCACATCTCCCCTCTTCTACCAATGTATAAACCCCTTGACGGCAGGGATTTTTCTCCTGGTTCTGGGCACTGAACACAAGACTTCAGTTATGCTACCTTACATATGCTAGAAAAGTGTTCTACCACTTAGCTACAGCCTGACCTGGGGGCAAGGATTTTTTCTGCTCTGTTTACTGCTTCCCAAGTACCTGTAAAGGGACTTTAGCATTTTCAGAAAAGGAGATGGTGAGCATATGAAGGCATGCTGGCCTCTTGGGAACATTATGTGCACAGTATGCTATGGTAATTTATGTGCATGTGCATGCTTAAGATAAGATCAGTGTGCCCACAGAGTATGTGGGAGGCTTCTCTGGGGCCACTGCTGGGGTCAAGTTCTTGTCTTTCTAGGCCAGGAATGCCAATGAGCTGATCTGGATGAGAAATGAACTGATTTGTAATCAGGTTGGCCTGACCACCTCAGTGCTGGATAGCTTGTACCAGTGATTCAGAGTCTGTGACTCCGAGTCAGGCGGGCTCTGCAACCTGCTCTGCCCCACTGGCCTCAGCACCGTGTAGAAGAGGTTGAACACAAGGGCAAGAGAAGCTTAGGGGCTGTTCCATCTCCTCTGGTGATCTGCTCTCTGGAAGACTGCCTGTCATTTCTTTCTGGATGCTGCAGGTAGTTCCCTAGGAAGCAGCCGGAGTCAGAGTTTAGCAAACAGTTAACTACACAGGATCTTGAGACCCACCTTTGTGGAAGAGAAGGGGTAGAAACAGGGATGGAGAGAGGAGGAACCACATGCAAACCTCAGCTGACCTTCAGCTCAAAGTTGAAATGCTATCAGGGGGTCCAGTATTTGGACCAAAATGGATCAACCATTAGATGTTGCCACCTGGGAAGGTATGACCCTGGGCCAGGTGACTCTGCAGCTGAGGCCACCTGTTGGCCACACTCCAGCAGCTGGATGGTGTTTTCTTAAACAAAGTCTGGGCAGTTCTTCCCCTTTATTATTCAAGCATTGATCAGTAACCCTTCCACAGTGGACATTTATTTATTTATTTATTTATTATTTATTTTTTATTTGTCTTCTTGAGACAGGGTCTCCCTGTAGCCCCAGCTGGCCTGGAACTTGCTATGTAGACCAGGCTGGAATTAAAGGCATGTGCCACCATGCCCAGCTAACATTTTGATTTTATTTTTATTTTATCCCCAGGAAGGTATATTGGGAGATGGTGAGAGCTTTAAGACAGGCTCCTAGTGGGAAGTCGTTCAGTCATTGGGGGCATGCCTCTGAAGTGGGTAGTGAGATCTGGTCCTTCCTAGCTCTCTCTGTTTCACAGCCATGAAATGAAGGGGTCCATCCCTCCATGTGCTCCTGCCTCGATGTGTACTTCATTTCATACTATATTAGAAATACAAAAAACAGCCAGGCGTGGTGGTGCACGCCTTTAATCCCAGCACTTGGGAGGCAGAGGCAGGCTGATCCCTGTGAGTTCAAGGCCAGCCTGGTCTACATAGTGAGTTCCAGGACAGCTGGGGCTACAGGGAGACCTTTTCTCAAAAAGACCAAAAAAAAAATGCAAAAAATGGAGGCTGGAGAGATGGCTCAGCAGCTAAGGGCACTTACTAGTCTTACTGAGGACCTAAGATTCAGTTCCTAGCTTACACACTGGGCAGTTTGAAACTGCCTATAAGTCCAGTTCCAGAGGATCCAATGCTCTCTGGCCTCCATGGCTACCCACACGTGTGGTACATATAATAAACTCATGGAAGCACACATGCATACACATACTTTTTTTAATGTTTTGGGGGCTATAGAGATGGATCAGTGCTTAAGAGCACTTACCACTCTTACTGAGTTTGATTCCCAGCACCCACATGGCAGCTTAACATCCATCCTTAACTCCAGTTCAAGGGGATCCAATTCCCTCTTCTGGCCTCTGTGAGCACTAGGCACACACATGGTACACTTACATATATATGTGCAAAACACTCATATGCATAAAATAAAATCTTTTTAATATTTTATTTATTTATTTTTAATATTTTATTTATTTATTTATTTATTTTGGTCTTTTTGAGACAGGGTCTCTCTGTAGCCCCAGCTGTCCTGGAACTCACTTTGTAGACCAGGCTGGTCTTGAACTCACAGAGATCCACCTACCTCTGCCTCCCGAGTGCTGGGATTAAAGGTGTGTGCCACCACGCCCAGCTATTTTTTAAATATTTTCTTTATTGTTTTTATTTTATGTGCATGTAAGTATTGCCTGCATGTAGGTAAGTGCACTCATGTCGTGCAATGCCCGCGGAGGACAGAAGAGGCTGTGGATCCCCTGGAACTGGAATTACAGACAGTTGTTAGCTCCCATGTGGGTGCTCGGATTTGAACCTGGGTCTTCTGCAAGAACAGTCAGTGTTCTTAACCGCTGAGCCATCTCTCCAGTCCCTATTTATTATTTTATGTGTATGAGTGTAGTGCCTGCATATAGGTAAGTGCACCCATGTCATGCAATGCCCTCAGAAAACAGAAGAGGCTGTCACAGTTGTTAGTGGCCATATGAGTGCTAGAAATCAAACATAGGTCCTCTGCAAGAACAGTCAGTGTTCTTAACTGCTGAGCCATCTCTCCAGCCCCTATTATTTTTATTTTATTTTATTTATTTATTTATTTTAGTCTTTTTGGGACAGTGTCTCCTTGTAGCCCCAGCTGTCCTGGAACTCACTGTGTAGACCAGGTTGGCCTCTAACTCACAAAGGTCCTCCTGCCTCTCGGAGGACCAAGTGCTGGGATTAAAGGCATGCACCACCATGCCTGGCCATTTTTATTTTAAGAGTACATACTACTTATATTAGTCAGGGTTCTCTAGAGAGACAGAACTGATGGAATGAATATATAGTAATAGAATTTATTAGTCAGCTTATTTCAAAGTTGTAACAACAGCTGAATCACACCTCAAAGGATGAGACCCTAGTAGTTTCTCAGTCTTTGAGGCTGGGTGGGTGCTCAGCAGCTGGAGTAGCCCCACAGTGACTGTCTCATACTGAAGAGGCCAAGACCCCAAAAGTTGCTGAGTGCTGGGTGCCTAAGCAGTCCCAATCTGAGGCTGAAAACCTGGGGGGATCCTGAAGAGCTGCTGGTCCTCAGTCAATGGCAGAGGCCTGGAAATGCTGGATCTGGTGTCAGTGAAGTATCAACAGCAGCAACAGGATAAATCATCTCAGTGGAGGGAGGGGAGGCCAAACAAACAGAAAGTGAATAATCTTCCTCTGTCACACCCCTTTTTATCTGGTTAGCTACCAGAAGTACTTTCTGCATTTGGGGTGGCTCTTCTTGTATTAAATAAGGCAATCAGGTCAGTTCCTCAGGTGAGGCTCCCTACTAATTAGTGGCAATTGCCATTAAAACCAGCCATCGGAGTGCTCTTGCAGTATGGTCCCAAGTTTGGTTCCCAGCACCCACAACAGGTAGCTTACTGCTGCCTGTAACTCCAGCTCCAGGAGATGCGGTGCCTTCCTCTGGCCCCCAAGAACACCTATACACAGGTGGCATACACACAGACACATAGAAACACACACGGACACAGACACAGAGACACATAAATAAGAATAAAATTTTTTTTAGAAGCTGGGCATGTGGTACACACCTTTAAATCCCAGCACTCAGGAGGCAGAGGCAGGCAGAGCTCTGTGAGTTAGAGCCCAGCCTGGTCTACATAATGAATTCTAAACTAGCCAGGGCTACAAAGTAAGACTTTGTCTCAAAAAAACAAACAGAAAAAAAAAATTTAAACTGCAAAAACTTCCCCCCAAAGTTGTTACTGTAGTTGCTGCCATGCTAGAGAGTGAGCCCAGGCCTCTCACATTGGCAAACACTCTGCCACTGAGCCAAATCCAACACCCCTCCTAAAGAGTCTTAAATGCATAAGACAAAAGGAAATTTCCTCTTCTTTTTCCTTTTGACTGATTTTGTTGCTGTTGTGAATTATTGTCTAACCTCCTAGTTAAAGGAAGAGCCGAGTTGCATTGAGAAGCTGAAGAAAAACATAATCTTTCTCCCAATCCAAGGAAATTTTAAGAAACTGTAAGGACCCACGTCCACTTTCCCTATCCTGCTGCACTCAGAGGCATTGGAGGTCTGGACAAACAGTCCCTGAATGGACTATGCTCTCCACCCCGACCCAGTTCTCTCTTTTTTCCTGTGGCTGCTCTCAGGCATCAACCATCTGTGCTCCAGACCTATTAGCCACGGTGCTGACTTTGACCTTAGCCTAGACCCTGCTAATAAATGGGCCTGCTTGTGGTTTGACCCTGGCGACCTGCTGTGACCAGCCATGCAGTTGTTCCCTTAAGCCTGTGCTTCACCAACGCAGTGTCCAGGCATAAAAAGGCTGGACTGGAGAAATCATCAGCTCCGCTGGACGAGGGACCCAGATCACCAACGCCATGGCCTGCCCGAGTCTCGCTTGCTGCCTGCTTGGCCTACTGGCTCTGACATCTGCCTGCTACATCCAGAACTGTCCCCTGGGCGGCAAGAGGGCTGCCCTGGACCTCGACATGCGCAAGGTGAGCATCTTGTCCCCTTCCAGCTAGCTGAAGGCCAGAAAGGACTCCCCCCTGGAGGGCACCTCCCCTGTCTTCCCAGCCATGCCCTGGCCTTGTGTGGGAGCCCAGGCTTTGGTAGGGTTGAGGCAGAGCCCCCGTACCCACAGCCTGGTCGGTCCCAACGCTCTCCCAAGCGCAGAACCACAGCACCCCAGGAGATGCGCAGCAATCCTCGCGCTGACCCGGGTCCACCCCCGCAGTGCCTCCCCTGCGGCCCGGGCGGCAAAGGGCGCTGCTTCGGGCCCAGCATCTGCTGTGGGGACGAGCTGGGGTGCTTCGTGGGCACCGCCGAGGCGCTGCGCTGCCAGGAGGAGAACTACCTGCCTTCGCCCTGCCAGTCCGGCCAGAAGTCGTGCGGGAGCGGAGGCCGCTGCGCCGCCACGGGCATCTGCTGCAGCCCGGGTAAGCAGGGCGAAGCTGGCGAGACCGACAGACCGAATGCTCCCGGGTTTGCAGCCCAAGTCACTGACTCACTCTTCTTGCAGATGGCTGCCGCATGGATCCAGCCTGCGACCCTGAATCCGCATTCTCCGAGCGCTGAGCCCATTTTGCAGATACCCTCGGGACGCCATCTTCGCTCTGCTTAGCCACGTCCAGAAGAAATGAAAAATAAAGCAGATTTTCCCTCCAACTTGACTGGCGTCTGTGTGTCAGAAAGGGAGGGAGGGAAAGAGGACACTGGGGAGCAGCCGGTTGCTCTGGTCTGGACCTGAGTCCAGGCTGCTTGAGCAATTCGGGGCTGGAGAGGCCAAACCGGCTGCCCAGGGAAGTGTTGCACAGACTGCCACCATCCAACAAGTTCTTAGAGGAAAGAGGGTTGGGGGTGGCTCAGAGAAGGCTGTGCAGCCCAGTTTCCCATTCCCAACCCGGCCAGGCCTCTGCCGCAGATAGGCTTAAGAGCAACATTGAGAAAGTCTGGGAGTATCAGGTTACTTGAATGAAGGGGACAGGCAGGAGGGACCCACCACTCACTTCCGACCTGGAATGAGACTTCAGCCACACCTTAGAGATTGAGGAAGCAGGCCTGGCCAAGCAGGAAGGGCCTTGGGGATGGGAGGATGGTTGCTGGGCCATCATATTTCCAAGGCCCCAAGGAGGCTACTGGACTGAGAGCCAGAAGGACTCTCTCCTGCTGTTCTCAGGGCTAGGCCTGATCCCAGGGGCCACTCCTGCCTGTGCAGTAACAGAACCTCTTGCTATATTCTGGGAAAGTATGAAGTCCTGAGAGTCCAGGAGGACAAATGAAGAGAACCCCTGTTCTTGGGGATCTATAACTAACTGCTGGATTAAAGACCCTCTCACTCCAGCAAAGCAGGCCTCACCCAGGTGCCAGTGTTGCCCAGCAGCATGGCACAAAGGCCATGCTTTCACTCCACTCCTTAACACAGAAGCAACCAAATTCATTGTCTCTTTGATTAAATGTGGTGGAGGGGTGGAGTGGGGGGGGGGCAGGTGGGAGGTACAGGAGGGTGGAGCCCAGTGGACTCTGGACTCACAGGGGCAAGGCTCTAGGCCCTGTCTCTGTCACAGCAAGTAAACAAACACACAAACAAGCACACGAGGGGCAAATCAACCCAGAGTCCCCAACCAACTGTATATGGGGTTCACAGGGTAGAGGCAAAAAAGACATACCTCTGCACACCTGGTAGAGGCTGCCGGGTCGGTTTATACCACTGTACTTGTTTGGTTTCGGTATTGAAGATTTTCTTGTTTAAATTTTTTATTTCATGGTTCCGACCTCCATTGGTGTAGCAGCTCTGATCTCAGCAGAATGCCAGAGAGTTCTGGCCTCCCTCTGGCCTCTCTCTGGCAGAGGGCCTGAGAGTGTGGGGGACTGACTGCCTGAGAGCTCCCAATCCTGTCTCCACATGGTGATGACCTTCCCCTAATTGCGCCATACCCATCCCCCTAATTGGGGGCCCCTCTCAAGGCCCCGGAGCAGATCTGGCCTTGGTGGGCTAAGGATGTGATCTAGCAGACAGCCTGTGAGGGTAGGTTTCAACCTCCATAGGTACAGCGGCTCTGATCTCAGCAGACCACAAGAGAGTAATCTCAGCAGACTGCCAGAGAGAGCTGAGTTCTGGCCTCCCTCTGGCCTCCCTCTGGCATAGGGGCTGAGTACACAGAGGAGCGCACCCAGATCCTGCCTCACATGGTAAAGGAAGCCTGAGTGTACCTGACTGGAACCTGAATTGGGCTTCTGTGGGTACTCCTGAATAGCTGATCTGAAGCCATCAGTTCCCTCCAAAATAAACATGAGAGAACCTGAAACCTGTACCAACCAGTTTTACATAACAATAAAGAAAGGATCTAGGCATCCAGATAATACCAACAGAAGCATACTTCAACTTAATTCTCATATCAGAGTCATAAACAACAAAAGAAATTCACAGGCCAAAATGACAATGAAAGAATAATACAATGGAAAGCCAAAACACTACGTCCCCACCAAACTCCACCAGTCCTGTAGAAGAGTTCTACAAGGAGAACCCCCTAGAGATAACCCCGGACACTGAATTTAAAAGAACAATCATAAACACGATCAAGGAATTCAACGAATTTAAAGAACACACGAACAAATCAAAGAACTCAAAGAAGACAGGGATAAACTTCTGAATGAATTCACAAAAGAGATAGAAACATTGAAGAAAACTCAAGCAGAAATGAAGGGAGTGCAAAATTCAATAAGCCAACTTGAAACAACAGGGGAAAGCCTCACCACTAGAATGAATGAAATGGAAAACAGAATATCAACACTGGAAGTTAAAATTGAAAAATTGGACCGCTCAAGCAGATTATGGAGAAAAAAAAAAAATTTTTTTTGGTCTTTTCGAAACAGAGTTTCTCTGTAGCCCCAGCTGGCCTGGAGCTCACTATGTAGACCAGGCTGGCCTTGAATTCACAGAGATCTGCCTGCCTCTGCCTCCCAAGTGCTGGGACTACAGGCGTGTGCCACCACAACTAGCGTATGGAATTTTTTTTTTTTTGTCTTTTTGAGACAGGGTCTTCCTGTAGCCCCAGCTGTCCTGGAACTCACCATGTAGACCAGGCTGGCCTCGAACTCACAGAGATCCACCTGCCTCTGCCTCCCGAGTGCTGGGATTAAAGGCGTGCACCACCACGCCTGGCTGGAAAATTTTTTTTAAAACACGGGAATGGAATATGCAAGAGATGTGGGACACCAAGAAAAGACCAAATCTACAGATCATAGGAATAGAGGAAGGAGAAGAATTTCAGACTAATGGTGTTGACCAGATCTTCAACAGGATTATAGAAGAGAATTTCCTGAAATTAAGGAAAGACATCCCCATACAGGGGATGGGGGAAGCACAAGGAACACCAAATAGGCAGGATCAGAAACGAAACTACCCACAACATATCATGGTAAAAACACTCAATGAACAGAACAAAGAGAGAATAGTGAAAGCAGCAAAAGAAAAACAATATATGAGTGTTATTACCTGCATGTATATAAGTGCACCTGTGTCATGCAATGCCCATGGAAGTCAGAAGAGGGCGTTGGAGCCCTTGGAACTGGAGTTAAGGACAGTTGTTGGCTGCCATGTGGATGCTGGAAATTGAACCGCTGCAAGAGCAGCCAGTTCTCTCAACCGCTGAGTCATCTCTCCAGCCCCTGACTTTTCAGTGCAAACTATGAAAGCCAGAAGAGCCTGGACCAAAATATTCCCAGTTCAAAATGACCATGGATGCCAGCCCAGAATACTTTACCCAGCAAAAATGTATATTATAGTTGAGGGGGGAAGAAAAATCTTCCATGACATGAAAAACCTTGAAAGAATACATGTCACAAAACCAGCCCTTCAAAGAATACTTGAAACAATATAGAGAGTGGAGAGAGAAACAACTATACCCAGGGGCAATGAAAGAAAATAAATAAAGGTATAATTGAGGAAGCATAAAATTAGACAGAGAACACAAACAGCAATCAAAGTGATGGCAAACAACACACATCTTTCAATAATAACCTTAAATATCAACGAACTGAAATCCCCCAGTCAAAAGACACAGGCTAAGTGAATGGATTAAGAAACAAAATCCATCTCTTTGCTGTTTGCAAGAAACCCATCTCACCTTCAAGGACAGGCACTACCTTAAGGTAAAAGGATGGAAAAGACTATTCCAAGAAAATGGCACTAAGAAACAAGCAGGGTCTGCAATTCTAATATCTGACAAAATAGAATTCAAAGGAAAACAAATCAGAAGAGATAAGGAGGGTCACTTCATTCTGATGAAAGGAACAATCAACCAAGAAGATATTACAATCCTTAACATATATGCTCCAAATTCTGGTGCACCCAAATTCATAAAAACAACACTACAGGACTTTAAGACATAGATTAACCCCAACTCGGTAATAGTAAGGGACTCCAATACTCCACTGTCTCCATTAGATAGGTCAACTGGACAAAGAATAAACAGAGAGACATCTAAATTAAATGCTACCATACATCAAATGGAACTAACAGACATCTTTCAAATATTCTACCTAAGCACCAAAGAATACACTTTCTTTTTTTAACTTTTTTTTTAATGTGTATGCATGTATTGCCTGCATAAGTGCACCCATATTGTACAATGCCTGCAGAGGTCAGAAGAAGCTGTTGGATCCCCTGGGACTGGAGTTATGGACAGTTGTTGGCTGCCATGAGGGTGCTGGGATTCGATCCGGGTCTTCTGCAAGAACAACCACTGTTCGTAACCACTGAGCCATCTCTCCAGCCCAAGAATACACTTTCTACTCAGCACCCCATGGAACTTTTTAAAAAATTGACCACATACTGGGCCACAAAACAAACCTCAACAAATAGAAAAAAAAGAAAAGAAAAAAGAAATAATTTCATGTATTCTATCAGACCACAATGCAATAAAGTTCAAAATCAACACTGGACAAAGCCTTAGTCACTACACAAACTCGTGGTGAGCGAATCAAAGGAGAAATTAAGAAAGAAATAAAAGAATTCCTAGAATTCAATGAAAAGGACAATACAACACAACACAACCTCTGAGACACTTTAAAAGCAGTCCTAAGAGGGAAGTTTATAGGTCTAACTGTCTACATTAAAGAATCAGTAAGAGCACAAATAAATGACCTAACATTGCAACTCAAGACAATGGAAAGGCAAGAACAAATGAAACCCAAACCCAGCAGAAAAAGAGAAATAACAAAAATCAGAGCAGAAATTAATGAAATTAAAGCAAAAACAATACAAAGAATCAATGTATCTAAGAGCTGGTTCTTTGAAAAGCTAAACAAGATAGGCAGACCCTTAGCCCAGTTAACCAAAAGAAAGAGCAAATCCAAATCAACAAAATCAGAGATGAAAGGGGAAACAACAGAACATCAAAAGATCCAGACCATTATAAGGGAATATTTTAAGAACCTATATGCCACTAAATTTGAAAAATCTAAAAGAAATGGATGGATATCTAAAATCGTGGGACCCACCAAAACTAAACCAAGAAGAGATCGACAGATTAAACAGACCCATAACATATAAGGAAATTCAAACAGTAATACAAAGCCTCCCAACTAAAAAAAATCCAGGCCCAGATAGATTTACATCAGAATTCTACCAGACATTTAAAGAAGACCTCCAACCAATACTACTT